GGGGGGGGGGCGCTCTGCGATATACCTGGCTGCTTCTTGCTCTGAGTGAGGGCTGCTGGGAGCAGGGGGTGGGGCTTGTTGCACGTGCCCGCCCCCTGGGCTCTTTACTGCTGGAGCTCCGCTCCTGTGCGCTCCTGCAGGAAATGACCCCTGGGTATAATGGTCCCAGGCCGTGTAGGGCTTTAAAGGTCAAAACCATAACCTTGAAAGGGATCCGGTATTTGATCAGCAGCCATATACAAGTTTCCTGCTTGAAAGTTCACATTGAAATTCTCCTGCTCTAGAGAGGCAGCACATCCGTCTCTGAAATAAATATATAAATGCGTATAGAGGTGATATAAGGACACACATCTGCTCAACACCCTTGCATCGCCCAGCAAACACAACTGCAGCTAAATTAAGACTGCAGTTCCCACTCACGCGTACTTATGAAGCTCAACAGGACTTAATTCCAGGAAAATATGCACTGTGCTGCCTCCCGTGGAATTTTTTAATAAGTGGGTGCTATTTATTACTTACTGAAGACTGCATCACAGTGCATCCCCCCCCCCCATTCCACATACTTAAGTTAAAAGTCTACTTTGTGTTTGGTTTTTTATTTCATGCACCCACTGCTGGCAATCCTTTGCCTTGACCTGGATGGTCCAGGCTAGCCCGATCTCGCCAGTTAAGCAGGGTCAGCCCTGGTTAGGACTTATATCAGAGACCACCAAGGAAGTACAGATAGAGGCAGTGGCAAACCACCTCTGTTTGTTTTTTGCCTTGACAACCCTACAGGGCCACGGTGTCAGCTGCAACGTGAGGGTACTTTCCTCCTCCACCACCACCACCTCCACCGCAATCCTTTCCAGGGGAAGGGCCATGGCTCAGTGATAAAACACAAGGTCCCAGGTTCAGTCTCCAGGTAAAAAGGATCAGGTAGCAGGTGATGTGAAAGACCTCCACCTGACACTTTGGACAACCACTGCCAGTCAAAGTAGACAAGACTGACCTAGATAGAACGAGGTTACGATCCGATGCACGCTTACCTGGAGCTGAATCCTATATAGAAAATGGTGAGGCTTACTTCTGAGCAAACAGGCAGAGGATTGCATTGCAATGGTCTGACTCACCACATGGCGGCTTCTTGTCTTTGACCAAGAATCGGCGTGCTTTGGTGCAGCACACTGCCTCCAAGCATTTCCTCTCTGCTCTAATCAAGGTGATCGTACCTCTGCATCCCTTATATGCATTCTTTACAACACTCGTCCCATCTTCTGAGATAAAAAGGACTCAGAGATCGTTATTCTATTGGTGTCTGATGAAGGGAGCGAGGTGATCCTACCTCTGCATCCTTTATATGCGTTCTTTACAACACTCCTCCCATCTTCTGAGCTAAAAAGGACTCAGAGATTGTTATTCTATTGGTGTCTGATGAAGGGAGCTTTGACTGTCTATACCATGAAACTCTGGTTGGTCTCTAAAGTGCACTGAACTCCAATCGAACTGCTTTGGTGTAGAAGGTCCCCAACACAAAGCATCTTGAGTTAAAAGGAGCAGGTAATGGGGGGTGCAGTTGCCAGCTAGGGGTTGGGAAATACCTGGAAATTTGAGGGGTGGAGCCAGATGAGGGCGGGGCTTGGGGTATAATACCACAGAGCCCACCTTCCAAAGTGGCCATTTTCTCCAGGTGAATTGCTCTCTGTCGCCTGGAGATCAGTTGTAATCTCAGGAGATCTCCAGCCATCACCTGGGGTTGGCAACCTTAGATATGAAAGATCTCTCCCTGGACAGCCACAGCCAACCAGAGTAAATGCTGATCCAGACAGACCAAAGTTGCGAACGTATGCACACACACCTTGGGAGTAAGACCTATAGAATCGGAAGAAGTGAGCCGTGACTCACGAAAGCTCATAACCTACCATAAATTTTGTTAGTCTTTAAGGCGCTACTGGACTCTTACTGTTTTCTGCTGCTACAGAGAACAACGTAGGGCTTGCTTCTGAGCAAACATACACACGGGCTTGTGCCGCAATCGTCTGATTCAGTGCAAGACGGCAATAAAATAAAATAAGCTCTTCGCTGTAGCAAACCTGCGGGTAATTTTAGTTACAGCGTCCTCCCGAAAGTGCCAATTACACATCGCGCTGTCACTTCCGATACGGAGCTGAAATGCCACTAATTCCCAAGGCAAAGTATAGGAAGTTTCCTTCCAGGCGTGGAGTGACGGCACTCTGCCCCTGTGGACCAATGGCGGCTTCCGAGAAAACGCCCCCTTTGAGCCGGTAGACCAATGGCGACGTTCAGTCGCGCTTCGGGGGCGGGGTTGGAATTCCAAGCCGTGCGTCACTCCAGATTTTCTCTCGCCCCCGTCGGCGTCACGTGGTGGCGGCATCAGCTGATCGTTGTTTCCGTTGCCGGCGGCAAGGCTGAGAGCGAAGCGGGGCTCGTCCGCGGAGGTGGCCATGGCAGCCTCAGTGGGGCCGGGAACCCGCACCAAGACGAAGAAGAAGCACTTCGTGCCGCAGCGGGTGAAGGTCTTGCGGTCGGCCGACCCGCTGCTGGCCGTCCTGGGCTGGGGCATCAACCATCAGGTAAGTTACACGCATCTGCCCGTGCTCACGTTCGCGTGCAGCCCTCTACACGTGTCTGCCTCCCGCGGGAAACCGTTCGCTGGGCTCCCGGTGGCGGCTCCGTGTCTGGATTTCGCCCACGGGGAAGAAGGCCTGCCTGCTCTTCCTTGTTCCAAGCTCATTCATTCACGCACACCCCAGCCTGGCTCACAAGGTTGTTGTGCGGATCAAATGGAGGGGAGGGGAGCAATGTCAGCCACGTTGGGTACCGATTGGGGGACAAGCGAGGTATGATTGAAGTGAATACTGAGACCCGTTTTGCTGCCTCTCTTGGTTCAGAACTGGAGGTGCTGTGAAGGAACTTAAAGAACAGATGAGCTGCGTTTATATCTTGCCCATCTGTCTAGATTTTTGATACACTCTTATGTCCTTCCTTCAAGGAGTTAAGAGTGGCAGACACAAATCTAACATTTTCCAGTTCATCCTTTACAACAACAATCCAGTGAAGTAAGTTTGAGAGTGAGTGACTGGCCCAAGGTTGACCCATAAGTTGTAGGGATGTGAACTTGAGTCTTAGACTAGTATTGTAAGCCGTGGATGGCGCTGACTGTCACTCAAAGCACTTGAGTCAGTTTACAATTCATATGGCTGATAGTTGTTCCCTAGATTTCTTTAAAGAGTGTTTTTGATTGTTGGGTGCTTTGGTAGTATTGTTAGATTCAAGTCCGGTGGCACCTTAAGAGACCAACAAGAATTGAAGGGGAATTGTATTGATTGTATTGTATGGGATTACTTTTGTAAGCCACTTCTGGAGTCTTGACTGAGAGAATGGGATAAAAACAACACTTAAAAGTGTCAGTTCTTAGACACCAAGCCAGTTCCTTTTTCTTGAGTCTTTATCCCTATTCTCCTCTTCCCTGCTTCCTAGTACTCTGGCAACTGGTACAGGTAGCATAGTCCTTTTCTCTCCCCGCAAACATGAACTGCTGGTAAGAGTTGTTCACCTGGTGAACTGATCACTTCCTCCTTGTTATCGGACTGATACCAAATCCTACCTCCCTGTCTGTGGGGATTAATATTGGGAACGGGTAGAAGGAATCAATGACAGATGTTTGTACAGATGGACCAGTAAGTGAGCATGTGTTCTCAGATTTCCCATCTTTTCCTATACCAATTTCTTACTTCTGAGTCTAATAATGGGCTTTGTTTTCCTGATACCAGGGCTGCTCATCAAGGATGACACTAATTTTAAATTTCTCAAGGCTGGAAGGAGGAATTAGTTTTTCCTTCTTTACTGTAAGGCTATAGCTATACATGTCATTCTGTCCTTGAGCTTTCTTATGCGGTACCCATAAATGGCCCCATACAGCATCAGAGCAGGGAGGAGAAAAGAACCCTAATGATTTCACCTTGTCAGGGTGAAATGTTGTTTTTCTCTTTTCTTAGAAGAGAGAAAAACAATATTCTTTGTTGGAGGACTATTGGCAGGATGGGGCAGATACACTTAGAGGGGTCGATCTGGTACTTCTCTGTTGTTATAGCTAATAATAAAATGACACCACGTGCCTGTACTGTGTGGAGTGATGAAAGCTGCAAAGCCAGGCATCCCACCAGAAGGGCAGAAGTTTTTATGTACTTGGAGGACTCTGAGGTTTGGGGAAAAGTCTTTGTAAATTAAGCAGAAGAAAACCCTCAATAAAGAGACCTGATGAGGGTTACATATGCTCCCCCCTCCAAAAAAAAGAGCCTGAGAATTTGGAAATTTCTGGATGGAGAGATTTTGAAGGTTATGGGGAGTCTCCAACTTGTTTTACCCTCCTGTGATTTATTTTTAAATGTGTCCTCAGCTTGTTTCAATTTAATACTTGATGTTATCTCCCTCCTTTGTTAGTGGGTTGGCATGTCAGGATTCTGTGTTCAGAGGGTCAGCAATAGGCAAAAGTCATAGGATAAAGGTGAAATGCTGGAAATATAGCAGCTGCCCTAACCCTTCCTTTAAGCTACCTGCAAATTCTGTCTGTAACTGCAGGGTAATACAAGGTCTTTTCTATCTGGGGCTACAATTTTGAGTTAACCAGTACACAGAGGTGAAGAATCCCATGCTTTGCAGAACCTCTTTCCTTTGCTTGTTCTCTTCGTTGGTTCACAGTCTGGGGCTACAGATTGCCCGTCGGATATTAATACTCCTATTTGTAGTCTTAGATTAAGTATCACTCTCCTCTCCTATGTCCACTCCTATCTGAGGGGGTGTGGATTATGAAGTCATCAGAAGTACAATAAAAATGCCAAATGTTTCCTCCTGTCTTTACCAGAGACCAGGCTGGTAATGCTTCCTCCGTGGGTGCCTGCATGGTTTTAGTCTGATATTGAATACCCATTTTGTTGTTGTTGTTCAGTCACACAGTCGAGTCTGACTCTTCGCGACCCCATGGACCAGATCACGCCAGGCCTTCCTGTCTTCCGCCGTCCTCTGAAGTTTGCTCAACTTCATGTTTGTTGCATCTATGACACTGTCTAACCATCTCATCCTTTGCCGTCCCCATCTTCTTTGACCTTCAATCTTTCCCAGCATCAGGGTCTTCTCCAGCGAGTGCTCCCTTCTCATTTGGTGGCCAAAGTATTTGAGCTTCAGTTTCATTATCTGGCCTTCCAGGGAACAGTCAGGGTTGATTTCTTTTAGGATTGACTGATTTGATCTTCTTGCAGTCCAAGGGACTCTCAAGAGTCTTCTCCAGCACCATAGTTCAAAAGAATGTATTCTTTGGCACTCGGCCTTCCTTATAGTCCAACTATATACCAACTATATACTGAACTCGTATTAAAACTGCCTTTG